TGTAATACAGTAGTTTTAATATCGAATTTCGACGAAAACAATAAAAATTACCACGTTTCTAAACACATAGGTATAACTGAACTGAGCTCAGAATTGTATTTTATTAGCAATGGTCTATCGTTGTTCGTAGATATAAATGAAATAACTTTATGTATCTAAGAGAAAATATCCTGGATATGCCACAGCGCGGCTCCACGCCAATAGGTACAAAATCTATTTTCACCATAAATAATATTGTCCCAAACGACTAACAAATGTCGCTTTATGAACTCCGATATTCGCAAACGCCGAACACAAAAATACGCGTTTAATTATAAGTAATATTTTGTTTTACACGCCATTTTACTGAAATTAAAAATAGTACGTAAAGTAAAAAAAAAAAAAAAAAAAAATGCAATTATATATATAGGTCCGTACCTGCCGTAACGAAATCCGAATAAAAACTTAATTACGTTAATATAATAATTTTGTAAATGTGTTCTCCATTACACAATATATACGCGATACGCGTAACATGTGATTAAAAATAACTGTTAGTGGTATTTTATTTTTTTAATGCGCAAAAAGTAATTATATCAAAAAAAAAAAAAAAAAAAAAAAGTTAAACATATAAATTTACAGTAACTACGTGTATGATAATATACGTGTATGATTGTGTCACTGTTAAATAATTTATGTACAATAGATAATAAAACTCTCGAATAACTTAAAAGTTTTTTGTCGAGGGGGGTGAGGGGGGGGATATGGGGGTGAAAAAAAAATTAAATAAAAAAACGACATTCACTTTGGAGTATCCACCTACCTATTATACCTACATTTTATCAATACGCGATATCTACGGTAAAATTAATAGCGGCGGCACAAAACTTCGGAAGATTTTATTCACTTCGCCGCAGCAACAATAACGATGGGGGGTTTTTTGTTTTTATTTTTTTATCGAAATATAAACGAAAAACATAATACGCCCGCGAACCGACCGGACCCGTCGCCGGAATTACATCGACTCGGTTCGGTCCGCGGGCAAATAATAATCGTAGCTACAAATCGCATCCCAACTCGAAATCGAAATATCAATTTTGTATCGTGACCGCTTTTGGGTGGGAAAAAAAAAAAATAAATCGGCCATTTGCGATGGACGGACGGCACGGACATTCAACATCGTTTTTCATTTTGTCGCTAAACAGACGCGTCGGTACGTTATGGAACCGTTCGGTTTTACGCAAATTTTCGAAACAACCGAGCCGTATTTTATAACGTTACGACCGTACGGTTTATCCGGTTTAACGGCCGAAGAGTCGCGATTCAAGGCAGCTGCCTATTATTTCGATTCGCCGTGACGTTTTTGCGCTGTATGCAAAATACTGTTGACAATAATCCGTTCAGCGAAGCAATACCGCCGTATTTTTGGTATTATGGCAACTCGAAATCAATCCGCTCACGTGCAATACGTACGCCGCGTATCGAGACAAACTGCGAATCGATCGGGATTATCGAATCCGGTGAGTAGTTTCCCGAGATTCCGGTACCCTGGGTAACGCGGGTTCGGGTAATATATTAATAATTAACGCGTACGTTTTGTTATTTTTTTAGTTTTTCCGCGGAAAAACGCGCTCGCCCGGCATTGGCCGCCATATAATTTTCATAAATTTCAGGCGTTCCGCGACGCCTCCGTCCGGGACGTCAAGACGACCGCGAAATGTCGCGCGGCCACTATGGGCGGACCCGTTTTCGCCCGAACGACCGTTTTTATCCCAGACCCGAAAGAAAATGATTGGCTTTTTCGTCCGAAGCGATATTATGCACGGTAAACGGAAAAAAAAAAAACATTGCGGTTACCACCGGACCGCTATGGTCCGTACGTTACGGGCCGTAAACAATAAGAATGCTATCGGTTTAAACGGCAGATTCCAGATTCGAAATTCGATTGTACACCGTAATCTCGCCGGTAAATCGGCCGAGTTATAATCGCAAACTGCGCTGGATTATCGAAGCGCATTTAGCTTCAGAAAACACAGATGTAATAACTCGCGTGGGGGCGAACGATTTTCGGGTTCTTAACGATAAAATAAAAGAAAAAAAAAATATTGTTAATTTTTCGTGCGATAAAAATTTAAAAATGTCGTCGTATTCGGTCGATTCCATTTACGTTGACGGGGGACGTTTAGACGCCGTGCTCGATTTTATACGGGTATAAATGACGCTTTAAATAAAAACAAAATATACAGCGGTAACCAAAAAAGATTTTGTTTTTTTTTCATGAATATTATATTGCTCTTGGCGAAAACCGAACCGTTCTCCTTTGAGCTGAAAAAACGTACGTTCGCGGAGCCTCGGAGCCCCGTGATCAGTGCTGTAACGAGATACTGTAAATCGGTATCTAGATACTCTACTTAAAAACGTATCTAGATACAGATACATGTATCTTAAAGATGCATTTTAAAATGCATTTAAGAAAACGGGTAATTTTTTTCATAAATATTAATAATTTATTCAAATCGCAGTTTTCGTAAACAGATCATAGGGCGAATCAAGACTCGGCCGTTCAAAGAGTCGGCTCGGTTCGCTGGCGACAAACTATTTCGCAGGGCTCTTACATAGTTCATTCACATATTCGCAAACTTTATAGAAATAATTTTGTTTGTTACCCAGTTTTGTACATTTTCATTTGTGCGTACCTAAGTATTAAAAACTATTTCGTAGGTCAGATTTAATTTTAATAATTGTTTTAAGTAATTGTTTTACTATGATCCGACAAAAAAAAAAAAAAACCCCAACCTAATTCGATATGAAATTCACTATAAAATAGTAAAAATACATTAAAGAATATAAAAATTTTAATTTTAAAATGTATTCGAATTTGTTTTTATTGAAAACGTGTTCCCTAATGACTAATGCATTATACTAGGACCGAGTACCTATCTACCTCAACTAACCTTTTGAATATTCTAGCGTAGGTACAGCGTAGGCGTGGGTTTTTATCTAAGCTTATCTTTTTTTATACAATTGTTCAACTCAAATGTTTGAGTTAAATAATGTACAACTCCTACAGAATGTTTCAATGTTTACAAATTATATTGATATCTCATATCTGATACCTTCGTGATAACTGATAAGCGGCCATCAATGTTACCATTCATTATCTATAAATCCCGGTAACCAGTAACCACTGAGGCGCTGACCTATTATAGTATTATATCGAACAACGTACGCTTAATAACTATTAGGTAGGTATATAAAAAATAAGTTTGTAATTGTTTCGTATGTCTAAATGTTGCTTTTAAAAAAAAGACAAGTTATACCTAAACTATAATTATATTATTCTGTTCTTTCATGGTAGGTACATACACACGTGTTTAATGGTTTTATATTAATGCTTCTTAAGAGACTATAAAAAGGGATGCAAAGGGGCTCTACTTGGCCATTTGAGGGATATTAAAATGCTAGGGACGCTACTTTTTTAAAAGTAGTCAAAGCACGTCTACTATATTTTCCAAGTCGAACACTGTACGTGGTTACCTACCTACCTAATAAGTCATCTGATTTTGTTTTACTTTATTTTTACTGAACGCTGAACAGGCATTTGGGTAGGATAATATTTGTTGGAGAATGAGTGAACGTTTCTTTTAAACCTTATTTTGTGCGCAATTTTTATGACGAGTTTGAAAATTTAATTGTGTTTAGTTTGTAGATACTACTCGGGATATCTACTCGGGAAGGTCAGTCAATATTTTCGGTGTAAATAATAATATAGTCGCCTTACCGAGTGTTTCCGTTTCACTCACGACGTTTATCGCGTTTTTCCTGTACGTGTTTCGTGTTAATATCGTCGACACTAATATCCATAAACATCGGTGTTAATATTAACGAGACGACTCGCGGCGTTTTGGTACAACGGAACGGATGAACCGGTTTATGACGCGTGTACTTTAAAGCGTTGCACAACTCGCCTCCGTGGCGCAATGGGCTAGCGCGTTCGGCTGTTAACCGAAAGGTTGGTGGTTCGAGCCCACCCGGGGGCGTTCAATTTTTTAGCATTTTTTTTCGTGGCTTTTTCACGCGTTTTAATCAAATTATACGTTCTGGCAAAAAAAAAAAAAAATACAATTTTTTTTCATTATTGCCCGTTTTCAATACGAATAACATCGAAATTTCCGGATAAGTAGAATACCTACATATAAAATATACAGGTAACCTAACTATATTATTATGGCGTGGCGTTGCTTATAGTATTATAAACAGTGGTGATCATAGGTTATAAACAGTGGTGATCATAGGTTATAAACATCACATCGTAAGCCCGGAAAAATTTCGAAATTTCGCTGAAAAATCACGAGCATACCGTGTATATTCTCAAATAGATTTTATAATTAAAATTGTCGAATAAAAAAAAAAAAAAAAAATTTGTCACGGTATATTACAATACATTTTATCTCTCGAATAAAATTGACGGGAACACCACTGATCATAAATAATTGTTATACAACGTATCGGCAAACTTTAAAATAGTTGTATTATCTAATTGATAACGTTAGAACGGTAGGTGTTATTTTTTTTTTTCTTTTAACTATACAGTAAAATATAATTGTTTTTGTAATACGTATGGCTACACAGAACAACTTAAATAGCCGACAATATCGTATAATACCGTTATATTATTTATCTGTGTTATTCAATATGTATACAATTAAAACTGTGATTATCGAAAGAAAAAAAATCCTAATAATAAAAAAAAAAAACAAAAACGACCTTGAGTTGAAACTCGCAGTTCGCAGTTTGTGCGCGAGGTTATCGCATTGTAATACTCGATCCGTGCCACTTCGACGGTTATTACCCACTGCGCTAGCGGCGCGGTACGCCCAGCATCCCGTGCCCACTCGTAGCTATTGCACGGCCAACGGCGCTGCGGACCGGCCGTCAGCTCGTGACGTAGCAGCAGTCGGAATGGCAGAGACCGAGAAGAGTATTCGATAACTGCACATTTCGCCTGGGATTATAATCGCAATGACCAACTCGAGTGGCGTTAATATGAAAATGTTTTGTTTAGAGAATTCCACCTCCGTGAGTGTTTCTTTTTGAGGGGTCGTCGCGGTTTGTCGTCTTATTGTTTCGAACGGTCCGTACGTTTGGTGACGGGAATTTCGCCGTAAATCACGTTTCGATCGGTTTTTTTCCTGGGTAACCACGGACAATACATTTTTGTTCGATAAACGTATTGCGCGAACGCAATAATATCCGTGTCGTTATCGTCGGCGTTTTTCGAAATAATAATATCGTTTAAAAACCGTAACCGTAACTCTAGATGCGGCATTTTATGTTTTCTGGTTTTTTTAGAACGGCACGAAAAAACGAATAACAATAATAATAATAATAATAACCGTACGGAACAGATCCGCACGCGGTATAAACGGTCGCGAACCCTGAAGCGCGCGCGCGTAAAACGCCGAAAAAACCGCGGCCGGCGGTCGGAAAAAAAACCCGCGATAGTGGTATCGTCGCGCCTCCGACACGATAATTTACTCGCGCGCGGCGCGGCGGTCGTACCGCGTTAACCGGAAAACGACTCTGGACGGTTCCGGTACGCCGCAATAACAATAAACGTTATTATCAACCTGCATAACAGCCCGTCCGGAGAGAGCGCGCCGGGGGATTTTTTATTCGTTTGCGAATCAAGGTTTGCCTACCGGGTTAAAGGCTAAGTCGGTATTTCGTCGCCACTGCGCGCCTGCGCACACACCCGCCCGTAAACCCGCCTGCCCACACACCCGCCTAGCCGCCCGCCTGCCCACACACCCGCCTAGCCGCCCGCTCGGACGACGCGTCCGCGGCGTCCGACGTGTCGCGATTAAACGGGCACGCGCAAAAAATACCGCCCGAGCCACGGGGCGGGTACAGCTATAAATCAAACGTTTATACGATAATACCGATATTGTACAGTTCCGTCGTTCCGTTCCCGTCACTAAACCGTTCGCGGGCACGCGTTTCTCGCGAAACACCGAATTCACGGTTTACCGGACCGCGCGGTCCGGTTTAATCCGCGATTGAACGGAACTTTATAAAAACGCACTGGGCGGGGGGGGGGGGGGGGGGGGGNGGTGGTGGAGGTGCGCACCCGCCGTCCGGCGCGTGTTGACACGGTCAATTCGATAACGACGACAGCGCGAGTTTCGAGCTAAACGCGAATCGGGCCGACGCGCGTTAACGGACTCGGCGTCGACGGGGTTACCGGACGGTAACGATTATGGGCGGCCCCCCCTCCCCCTGCTTACAGTTGAAATACACCGGTTCCGGTCGCCAGACGGTTCCACGGTGGCGGCCGGGAACCGCGCCGCGTGTCGATCGCCCGCTTGGTTAGGCTCGGCGAACGATATTTGCGGACGTTTCGTTACCCGGGGGTAACGGGGCCACGAACATAAAAATGTACGTTTTCAACGGGGTACCGCCGGATATCGGAGTGCAAAATTAAACAATTTTTTAAGACAATTAAAAATACATAATATAATATGAATCAAATAATTATTCGTTCATGATTAATTATGAATTAATTATTTTTTTTTTTTTTTTTGCTTTTTAAACAATGCGGTACAGATTGCGTTGCGCAGTACCCGTTCCGAGAGCGCGATTATGGCGAACATTAAAAAAAAAAAAATTTTTTAATTAACGCATTAAAATACATGGGCCCATTTATTGGATTTAATAATAATAATAATAAAACCGTTTGAAACAGTGGCCCGATCGCCCCGCATAACATTTTTGCAAAAAAAGGTTCGCCGTGGCCCGGATCCCCGGACGTCCCGTTCAACGTGCGCACGATCGCGTCGCGCATGATTCACGTGTTCAGATATTTTCGGGCATATTGTAATAATCGTGATTAACGCACGCACGAGCGACATCTTCCGGTCTGGCGGAAACGCAAGTCGATCATAAATAATCCGTAATAATCTTCTCGAACGTACCGCATCCGGTTTTAAAAACGTCAATTGTTCCGCGGCCGCGCATCGGCCTCCGTGGCGCGGCGGCCGGCGCGTTCGGCTGTTAACCGAAAGGTTGTGCGGCGATTCGAGTTCAACCCGGGGTCGTTCAATTTTTTCATTTCCCTCCCCCCCCCATTTAATTTTCGGCCGTAGTTAACGCAATGCGCCAACGGGTTTTTTTTCTTTTCTTCCTTTCCCAAAGTTATTGCGGATTTCGGTACAATTTATACAATTCATACATTACGTTATGTTTCGTGACTTTATTTGTTATTTTTTTTTTTTCCCCTCCCCCTGTAATTTTCTCATTATATCGACCCGTCGTCATCGTTTTGCGACACGCAATCGGGTTTCGTAATAATATTTGTATAATATAGGCACGCCGCCGCAGTATTATTAAGTAAACAATTCTATAGTCTACAAACCGAACGCATCGTCGAATAATATTTGTGTGAACGCCGCCGCCGCACATTTTTAACCATAATGTACGCCTAATCAATAAAAAACCGCAATATCCGATAATACGCTATAATAAATACGGAGTCGTAAAAAAAAAAAAAAAAGAAAAAAAACTCCCGTCCGAAACCGCGATACCGCGTTATCGGCTATCGGTATGAAAACATTAAAACACAAAAAAAAGTAATGATAAAAAAAAATGCATAATATTTTGTTATCGCGGTAAAGAGGACCGCGGTTTGAAGACGGTCCGAGCTGTGCCGCAATCACAGCCCAATAATTTCGCGCGGTTATTCGGGAAAATTTCAAATTGACCGACCCGGGGGAAGTGTCGTAAAGATTCGCCGATGCGCGCTCGCTATGAGAACGCGAAGAAGCTAAAATAAATAATAATAAAAAAAAAAAAAAAAAAAATTAGTTTATTATGGCCACGCGAAAATGATCGCACGGGGCCTCGATATTTTTTAAGCCGGTCCTGATTATATTTTACGCGGGCGAATACGAAAAAGACGTTGTGGAATAACGTTTGCCTCAAAAGCCGTTAGATCGCGGGGAAAACTTTCGCCTTTATTTATTCGTTATTTAAATTACTTTTTGGAACGCGGACAAAACGAAAAGCGCTTTTTACCGTCCGTATAAATATATAAATATATACGTGCCTATATAGGTGTATTACAATATTATTATGAATCATTTCGCGGCGCAGGTATACCCACTGTAAATATTATTCTAACGGTTAATTCGGTTCGGGGGGGGGGGGGGTGGGAAACGGTTTTTTTTTTTTTTTAAATTTGTTTTTTCCTCGATACGAGTACACCCACGTTGTCATCGTCCGCGAATTAAAACTGCCGGGTACTCGCGGGATACACGGAACCGTAATGTCGCCGCGCGGTTCAGCGAATAAAATATATTGAAACAACGGCCACGAATAATGACGTGAGCGCCAAAGGTGCACAAATGACACAATACCGTTTGTGCCCCGAAACGTGTAGGACACGAGCGCCAGTCCAATATTTACACGCCCGTCGCGCCCGAACGCGTGACGTGAGCGCCAAAGGCGCAAAAACCGCGTAATGTCGAAATCAATTACGCGTACATTTCATACAAGCGGGCGTTCAAAACCGTCAATAACCGATAAAACATGTTGTCGTTGTTATTAAAAATAAACGAAAATATATTTGCTTCGATTCGTTTGTATTTTCGTAGTTTCAACAGATCGGTCGATTTTTTTATTTTTTTTAATTCGGACTTTTTTCACACGGTCTATACGACTTGTTTCACCGTCGCGGTACTATTTCCGCTGCACGACGTTGCGTCTTCGTGAAATATCCTTAATCGTCCGTTAGGCGGAGGGATCGTAAAATAAATACGTTTCGCATTGTAATTTCAATTCGATTACTAAATTAACCGTTGTGGTAAAATGTTTTTTTTTTTTTTCTCATCTCGTTTCGGTGCGTATGTCTTTCGCCGGAAACATTGCCGGTACGCGATTTACTCGTAACGGGCGTTCGGACGTTTTCGACAATTGGGCAATGTTATCGCTATCGGTGATGACGATTGAAATCGACCAACCTCACCATTCCAACCTCCCCCTCCCCCCGCTAAAGCAACATCGGCCGTTGACGAGTCAATCAAAGTCAAAGTTAAAAAATAAATAACCGAGTTGCTTGACATGCTTCATTCATTTCGTTGTTTCTCGAGAAATACCGACCGAGCATCTATGCAACGCTATAAATAGGTTTTCGGAATCTACATTGTCATTCCGTCTCCCCCCCACCCCGTCTGAAAATTACCCTACGGGCGCCCTCGCGTACGCGCACGCGGTCGTTGTTCCATCCGAACAAAATAACACTGTAAACACTCGGCAGAGGGACGCGGCAATATCGATATCGGGTTGTTTTTTTTTTTTTTTTTGGAATTTTCGCGACACTTTTAACACTATAATAATATCGTAATGTGACCGTTGTGCAAACTGTACGGTAAAGGTATGTGAGTATACGTGCAGGGATTCGCACCCGTTTCGGTTTGTACAATAACGCGACGGTTTTCTTTTCGGTATTACATAACAATATATTATTCAACGTGATAAATGTTAAAAGTAAAAAAAAAAAAAAAAATGGCACCGAGCAAACTAAGTCTAAACTTCAAACAAAACTTCAGAAGTCCGTATAGTTCGTAAGATAAAGGACCGACAATATCACACACACACACACACACACACACACACACATATATATATAAATACAGTCGTCGCACGTATTATTATGTACAGTGTACTTTTCGCCGTCGGCCGAATTTTATCGTTGTGTACACGGGATTCAGCGTTGTGGTGTATAAAAAATATCGTTTTGTACAAACAAACTCGCGGGGACGCGACGTCACGATGACGTTTTTTTTCTTATTTTTTTTTTGTCTTTTTTTTTCACCCCCTTCTCCCTTCCCCGCGCAAAGCGTCCGTTTTTCGTAACGTCGCGTTGGCGCGCCATGTAAAAATATATTGAAATAGAATACCCACTGATGGAGCGTAATATTATAAAAAATATTACACGAGTAGTCGCGACCGATTGTCGGTGCGCGTGTTATAAGGATCGGAATCCCTCCAAACGTCTCTTTTTACCGTATTTGTGCGTGTGCAGAGTGTTCTACGGAATTCCCCCTTCCACAGGCAGTTTTTATAAGAACACCACTTCTTCCTCCCCCCCTCCCCACTCAGCGAAATAAATCATGCGCGAGGACCCGGGCGAGAAACTGACGAATCTCCTCCGTGAAAATAAAAG